TGGGGAGAAGGAGGAGATGGGGGAAGGACAGATGGACATGCAGGATTCCAAAGGGCCCAAGTAAGGGCTTCTGGAGCTCTGGGCCCAGCAAGTAGGCATGGCCAGGTAGAGGTAGCCCCTGCCCCTGTAGGACATGCTCCACAGCCACAAACAATCCCTAGTACCCAAATCCACCCAGAGCTGGGCCACAGATGCTGAGGCCCAAGTCACAAAGGACATAAGCCTCAACGAGCCTAGGTTTCCACAGTAGCCTTAGAGTTACCACCTTTCCTCCATTCACCCAGGCCTAGCAGAACCCACCTTTGACATCCAGGCAGAAGGAGACCCTCTGGCCCCCGGCCTTCCAGCTGTACTCCCCAGCATCCGCCTTGCCTTCCTGCTGCACCACCAGCTGCTGCCTACAGCCAGAGGCCTCCACGCACACCTGGGAGCTCTGGCTCAGCTTCTTCTCATCCTTGTACCATGTCACCTCTGTCTGGGCCTGGGCCACCTCGCAGCTCAGAGTGGCACTTGTCCTCGCCTGGGCCTTCACCTCACTGTGTGTCAGCTGTCCCTTGGCAAACACAGCCTTGGGCTCTGAGGAAACACAGGGAGTGATATTGGTTGTGAGCCCCACCCAAACCTCTGGTTTTTGATTAATAGTCTCTGGAGCCCGAGCTAACAGAGCCTGCCATGTGGATCCCTCAGGATACATTTTCCTAAGCAATGTGGGAGGGGATGCCCCTTCCCATGAGACCTTGGTGTGCACAGGAGAGTCACAGGACAGACCTTGCAAAAATTGACAAGATGTCTTTTATAAGCCCAGAGAACGTCTCTCTTGTGCCCAAACTCCTGCCCACCTCTATAGCACACTTCCCACAGATTGAGTTTGCTCCAGTAGGGAAACCTGACAGTACCTGCCTTCAGCTCTGCATACAGCCAACCATCCTCTGGCAGTGACACCTGGCTGTGACTTCTAGTGTGAAGCATCCAATGCTTGCCTGTAGAGCTGGTGTGTGACTGGCATTTGTAGGGCCTCCCTGTCCCTGGGTCCACAAGCTGCACCTGGCCTGGGGTAAACCAGGCTGGAAACCAGAGCCCATTATGGCCACACTGGAGCAAGCCCTCCTGGGGTGGGCTGCTCCAACAGCTTCACAGAGGCCTAAGAATCCCTTGTGCATTTGTTGCTGAACTTCCCAGCCTATATCTCTGAGCCCTGGGAGCTTCTAGGAAGGTCATGGCCGTGGTCAGACCCACCAGACTTAAATCTCAACCTCAGAGGACACTTCACATATCTGTGGGTCCCCTCAGCCCT